GATCTCACTGACTATCTAGTGGAAGAAGGCGGTAGTGAAGAGGAGGCTCTGTTAGGTGAGTGAAATTTGAGGCCGTGATTTTTAAAGTTTCCGTCGATTTGAGGTTCATTGTTTATTGACGCTTTCAAACAGCTTTCTTGTGATTTACCTAGTTTATTATGACACCCGTTTTTGTTCCTGATCCAAATAAGAACAATGCTGAACCAAAAGTAGTCCAGCAAAACAAAAAGTCATTCCTACTTACTTTGTTCTGCAACTGCTGTAACCAACATGCATATAAATATATATATATAATACTACACAAGGAGTCGCAATACAGCTGAAGTTTCCCTCCGAGCACAATCAGTTTCGCTGTTCGCTTCAGTTTTTACAACCTGGCAGATGGAAGATTAGAACCTTGCGAGCAGAGTCACAGAGAAGCTACGGAATTCACATGGACTAAGGTTGTATGGATGAGTAGATGCATGAGCCCTACTCTTCGCGACACTCGTTCATACCACTTAGTGTCTCTCACAACGATCCCGGGGTCCCTATCCAGGAAGCCCAATGAAATATGTTAGAAGGTTTTCTGGTCAGGGTTTTCGTACCCTGGTGCCACCCGTTAATTTTTCCGTCCAACACCTACCTCGACAAACAGCACGCACCGTGGCAATCTACAGTCAATATCCTGCTATGTTGCATTTTCCAAAATCTTCCCTCTTTTTGGAAAACCCAAACAAACGGTATGCGTACTAACATAGTTTCTGACCATACAATGTCGCCCTCCTCATTATGTCGCAATCTTTGGTACCTACTCACTTGGTCATTGGCCGCTGTTCGAACCAGCCATTGACCAGCCAACCTGCAATGTCTCACTCAGCCAATGGCGTTTCATGTAGTTTGACGCGAACCTGACATAGTGTCCTGGATAATTTTGTGGGGAAGGCACACCGATGCTAACAATCGAAGATCGTTTTACTTAACTTCAAAATGTGTGATTAGCTATCAATCAGAACGTTTTGGAAATGCTGAATTAGCCAAGTACAACTGAGAGCTCCATGGCCGAATCATGTGGTATTTCAAGACAAACTGTTCACAATGTGTTGTTGGCGCAGTGGTTAAGTCACTGACACAGGCGTGCTTTGGACCGTATGGTGCGAGGTTCCCGCCACCGCCACCCAACTTTGGTAGTAGGCAGCTTTGTTGTCGTCCGGTTGAATACCACGCCTAACCTATCGCGGCCTTATGTGGTTCACCACTTCAAATCCCGGGTTACCGATTTCCATCACGGAACAGCGGGTCGTCGTGACCACGAGGTTCGTCCCGTCAGCTGTTCATCACACGAAAGTGTGTAATAAAAGAAAATCACACCGAAATACTATCGGGTAATTAGTGAACACTAAAGCATCGCAGGGGAGATGTCACCTAAAAACCAACGAAGAGTTCAAAACCTTGGCTTTGCTTACGGATATAAGGAAAGACAATTCAGGTAACACAAAAAAATGCANTGGTTTCGCTCTTGGTTAGACAGATGTGTTATTCTATCCTACAGGGTAAGAGCCAAGCAACTACTCATGTGCGCTACCCTATGGGTTTACAAGGAAAAGTTTGGCAGTACCACCTAATTCACTGGACGAGTTTCAAGTGGTATTACCGCAGTTGATCCATATATACGCTGATTGATGTTTTCAATTCAGACGAAACATCCATGTGTTACAAGCAGCTCCCAGAAAGAACATTAAGTCTCAAAGGAAAAAGCAGTTTCTATCGCACTAACGTACATGCGGGTGAAGAACCATAGTCGCGATTAACTGGTAAGCCGGCGTGTGGATTCAGATTCAGATCCAAGCGATCGATCAATGCGGTCGCCCGGACTCGCATGTCTGAATGATTGAACGATAATCGCATATGTCCATGGGCAGGTCACTTGCCAAAAGTCATCATAACCCGGGTCCGACACGCCCCTGGCCGTTTGAGCGATGCACGTCTAATTTGCGAAGCAAGTGTTGAACTTGATCCGTCACTTATGTTTACCGACACTGGCCATGACGAAAGTATCAAACGGTCGGAAAAACTAGTAGCAACAAAGGCGAAAGAAATAGTAGATGTCTACATGATTAGCGCTACACGTTTTTAACCAGAATATGCTGAATAGATTGCACAACGAACAGCAATCAGCTTGGAATTAGAGAAAGAGCTCACCGTACTGAGTATACCCTGCAATAGGTATTTCACTTACTTTAGATGACGTAATTTCCTTCGGATGTGATTTTTTCTTCCGTATTCGACGTAGTACATGCTTGTTTTCATCAAATGGGTCAATAATGAAATGATTATAATAGTCAAAACAGTTGTATATTATGATCGACACCATATGATCAATACTGCGGTTATCCTAACATTGCAAAGGAATGAAGAAAGTCGAATTGATGTGCGCTAATTGGGTTAGAAAAAATTACTCTACAGAAAGGTAGGCAGTTTCGGGATAACTACTCACAGTAAACCGAAAATGGGCTAAATACTGAGCACAATTTAATAATGTTGGGCTGGGGGCGTCATAAAAGATTTTAAATTTTTTGATTTGTGAAGGATACACAAGACGGTGTACCTAAATTCCATTATAAATAAGCACTACATATAAACATGCGGAACAAGTAACGGAATTAAAATACATTTAATCGATCCAGTTCATTTTCGTCACAAAACTCCCAGCCGATTCATACTACTTAATAGCATTTACTACTGGCTAACATGCTGTGTCGCAGTTCCTGGAACATACCCCCTTTTTCGAATTCCCGAGGGATGCAACATAGCAGGTGATTGACTGTAGTTGGTGCTGTGCGCAACGTGCCCCGAACAACATAATCTGTGGAGATCGACGACTTGTTTC